GAGAGAGAGAGAGAGAGAGAGAGAGAGAGGAATAAATAACGGAGTATAGAGAGGTGGAGGGTGGTGTGGGTTGGCGGGGTTGTAACACTTTAGAATGGTACGTCACTACCGTGTTCAACCGAACAGAATGCCTGGTCATCATACCTGTATGTAGACTGGATTTGCCCCAAATACAGGTGTAAAAATGAGTGGCCGTTCTCTTTGGAAGTGAAGATGGCCATGTCCCCGTTTGTCCTTTCGGTGATGGATAGTCAGAAAAGTCTTAAGCATGTGTGTGTTGATGTGCCGAACGAGCTGTGAACGTGGTGGCTTCGCTTGGGAGGCACTGACGGCTGTCTTTTCTGTCGTTCTTTCTTTCTGCTTTTTTTTTCCTTTTTTTTTTTTTTAAGACAAAACGCTCCAGCAACTGAGAGCGGACATGTGCGACCACCTGTAGAATCAAGAAAGAGCTCGCAGGGCATATACTCACACTAGCACTTTCCGCAAATGTATTTCACTGCAATTACGGCCAAATGTCGATGAATCTAACCGCAATCACGTCCATACAGCTTAGTAGAAAAACGTCGTGGCATTGTGAGCGTGCCCTTAATCTCTCTAGCCCCGTGCTATGTCCGGACCAGGTACGTTCATGTCATAATTTGCGTTCTCTCTCTCTCTCTCTTTTTTTTTTCGGTGAAGATTGCTGTGACGGGAGCGACGAATGGGATGGGAGAGCGACCTGCGGCAATGATTGCAAGGACCTCGGATTGGAATCGCGAAACCAACTCGCGCAGGAGGTGACGAGGCAAAAGGAGGGGCTGAATCTGAGGAGAAAGTATGTGGAGAAAGGACAGCAGCTTATCCAGGGCTGGAAAGCGGAGCGCAACAAGTTGGCCGAAGAGAAGAAGACAGTTGAGCGGAATGTGACGAGGCTGAGAGGTTGGGCCATTTGTTTGTTCCTGCTTACTATTGTGTTAGCTGTTATAATTCTATGGATATGGAGGACGAAGGGAGGAGGAAGGAGGAGGAGGAGGAGGAACAGAAAAAGGGATTTCGGTCGCGTATGATCGAGCGCTCAAGCAATGAATTGAGAGTCTTCTTCAATGCTCATCTTTTTTTTTTTTTTTTTTTTTAATAATTCGGACCGTTTCTCCATTTWTTTATGTGTGTCATCCTTGTGCAGGGGCCGTGCTAGTCTTCTCTCTCTCTGTGCATCGTTCGAATGTTAAGCGATGTCCCGAAGGACGGATCTTTGTCTTTGTTCTCTCCGAATCAATGATGACTGATCTTGAGATCGGCGTGCCTGTGGAGGACGAGACGCTGGCGCTCAACAACCAAAAAAAAAAAACACAGAACCTGCGATCAGATCTGTCATCATCTCGCGTGCAACTATTTCCACGTCAGATCTTGTCTGTGTCCTCCTGAACT